CCGCCGCTCCCAGCCAGTCCCTCCCACGCTCCCGCCCTCCCTGTGCGCCGCTCCTCAGCCTCCCTGACTCCTGCTCCCCATGCCCAGCTCTTTGAGCGCACCTGTCGCCAGTTTGACAAGCTTCGGAAGCGCGAGGCCTTCATGGAGCAGTTCCGCAAGGAGGACATCTTCAAGGACAACTTCGACGAGATGGACACGTCCCGCGAGATCGTGCAGCAGCTCATCGACGAGTACCACGCAGCCACGCGGCCCGACTACATCTCCTGGGGCACCCAGGAGCAGTGAGCGGCCACGGACCCCACCTGCCTGCCTTACCCTCTCCAAGTACAGATTGGGGAGCACGTGGATGTCACACCCATGGCTGTCGTATGTCCGGTGCCCTTGTGTTTCCGTCTCCTAAGACATCCTTAATAAAGCACTGGGTAGAAATCGAGTCATCGTCTCTTTTGAGGCTTCAGAGTCTGGGAGACGTTATGTGTGTCTCTGTCCCTGACGTCTGGGTCCTCCCCACAGCCAGCACCTCGGCTCTGAGCAGACGGCCACCCAACTCCTCCTTCCGTGAGAAGGCCCACAGCCGTGGTCCTCTGTCCGGCCATTTCTGGTCAGGTGACATCCTGCCAGCCGTGCATCCCTGCTGACTGCTGCACCACCACCCCACCTTCAGGTCAGCACCAGGGCCTTCCGGCTCCTTGGCTGTGGCACCAGTGGGCCTGGGGATCCCGACCAGAGAGCCTCATTCCAGTGGCTGGAGTCTCAGCTTTGTGTGAGGAGCCCGAAGCCAAAGCCAGGGCACCTGGGCCGACCGTGGCTTGTGGCTGTGCTCTCAGTGTCTCTGCTGACAGTCAGCACCTTCCACTTCCGGGGAAAGCCTGCAGGGAAGCAGTGAACTTACAGGATCCAGAGGCCGAGCACGTTCTCCTGCTCAAGTGGTGGGAACCTACAGCTGTTGGTATCATTGAAAGGTTCACCAGGCTAAGGCCATAGGAGGCTCTTCTATATTCCAAAGGTAAAGATGGCACAGAAATGATACCCAGCTACAGTGGTACACACTTGGGATCCCAGTTCTCGGGAGGCTGAAGCAGGAGGATCACTATGTGGTCAAGGCCAGCCTGGGCTGCATAGCAAGACCCTGTCTCAAAAAAAATAATTTTTTTTCTTGGTGGTTCGGGTTCCAGGCCCAGGTCCTCATGCACCCTAGGCAAAAGCTCTACTGCTGGCCTACATCTTCAGTCCATCAAGCTCTTCATAGAGGAGACGAAACCAAGAATGATTAATTTACCAAGTCGCCTAGCTTGGAAGCTGCAGTCGGAGTCGACCCCTGGTCTGCCCCTAGCAGCTGGCTTTCAGACTCCTGCACTCTGCTGCGTCCTGTGCTGCTCACAGGCTGGCGCGGAGTTGTCCCATTTCCGGGGTCTCTGGAGCCACCAGCTGAGCCTATGGTGGCCAGGGGACGATGGCACCCTGCCTCTGGCCGCAGGAGAACCCCCATGCAATTCTGTTCCCCTGCAGCGAGGCTGTCACCTAAGATGGGCAGCTGGTGACCTGCGCCTGCCTTCAGAGGTCCGGGGACAGGAGACAGGTGGCGGACTCAGCTCGGGGTGGAGGCCTGGTGCAGGAAGCTCCTGCAGCCCTCGTGGCAGATGCTGGCTAGGGTTACGCAGGAACAGCACGGACTGGTGAGAAGCAGATCACGCACTTGGGCCCCCCTGGCCTGGCCCGGCCCCCGCTTCCTCCTGCCTCACCACAGCGCTCCCCCTGTGAGCAGAGGGGCCCTTGGATGGGCACTGTAATCCGCCACTGGGACTGTCCCTGCCAGGACAAGGGGTAAGAAACTGGGAAGAGACAGAGCACTCATACCAGCAACAGACAAACAAGGACAGAAGCAGCCACAGAGCGGTGATGCTCCCGGGACTGCAGGCAGCAGCCACAGGGACCCTGAGAGGAGCTGGAGCACAAGGCTCCCCCTCGAGAAGGGTGAGCACGGGACGTGACACTTAGGGACCACAACTTTGGAAACTGCGGATTTTTTTTTTCCCACTACGGAGGATTGAACTTAAGGCTTTTGCACTGAGCTCCACCCCCAGCCCTTTTTATTTTTTTATTTTGAGACAGGGTATCACTGAATTGCTAGGTTGCCCAGGCTGCCCTGGAAAGTTCAATCTTCCTGCCTCAGCCTCCGAGTAGATGGAATGACAGGTATGCGCCACTAGGCCGAGCTGAGCAGACACATTTTAAATTGGCATTCTCCTCTGCTCCCTCATCACTTCACAAGTTTCAATTAGACTCTGGGGCCTAATCACTGCCCTGCAGACAGAAGCAAGCTACCTGGGAAGCCACAGCCTCCACCCTCCCCTGCAGGGACCCCCTCCCCAGGCCCCTCTCTTGATCCTTTGTCTCCCTGACTGGGGAGCCAAGAGAACAGCCTGCCCCGCTGCCTCCAGAGCCACCAGGGGGTGACTAGGATGTCCCTGGCTCATCCTGTGGTAACCCAACAGCACATGTCCCTCAGGTCCTCTCTGATGTGGTTTGGAGACTGGAAAATGCTACCTTTGCTCAGCCCTAGGGAAGCTGGGCCACCTGGGCCCCCTAAATTAAAAACAGCACAGAGTGCCTAGACAATCCGAAGGCCATATGTGTGTGTGATCAGGATCAAATGAAGCCCTGCTGGACATCTGCCCATGCAAATAAGCACCTTTTAGAAATGCAGACCAAAAGTCTGGCACGGTACCATGCACCTGTAGTCCTAGCTACTCGGGAGGCTGAGGCAGAAAGATCCTTTGAGCCCAGCAGTTGAAGGCCACCCTTCTCACAGTTCTGCCTACCACAGCAGGTGACACCCTGCCAACTGTTACTGTGTAACAGAGTTAAGACCCTGTCTCCAGAGAACCAGGTGGGCACCGTGGCACACACCTGTAATCATGGCACTCTGGGAAGTGGAGGCAGGAGGATTCGAAGTGTGAGCCCAACCTGGACAATTTGGCAATTTAGCAAGACTGTTTCAAATTTTCTAAAATTAAAACAATTTTAAATGGGCCGAGGATGGCCGGGCGTGGTGGCACACCCCTGTAATCCCAGCGCTCAGGAGGCTGAGGCAGGAGGATCACTGTCAATTTGAGACCAGTGTGGGCTACACAGCGAATTCCAGGGCAGTCTGAACTACATAGTCTCAAAAAAACAAAAAAAAAGTGGGTGGGGGGCTGAGGATGTAGCTGAGTGGTAAAACACTTGCCTAGCATCTACAAGGCTCTGGGATCTGGCCCTCATATCAGGAAAGAGAAAAGAGCTCACAGATGATTAATGACAATAAGGTAGCCAGCAAAAAGAGAAGAACCTGACACTCAAAGGTGAGGACTAAGCCATTCTATCTTATGGATGTCTGCTCCTGAACAGCTATAGGAGACAGCTGGGGACTTAGTTCAGTGGCTCTGAGGCCTGCCTAGCATGTACAAGGACCTGAGTTCAACCCCCGGTACCACCAAAGAAATAAATAAATAAAATAAAATAAACTGTAGGAAACAGTATAGTTTTGGTTGCTTAAAAAACAAGTGTAAGAGCCAGGCTTGGTGGGGCATGCCTTTAATCCTAGCACTCGGGAGGCTGAGGCAGGAGGATCACTGAGTTCGAGACCAGCCTGGGCTACATAGTGAGTTACAGGTAAGTCTCAACTACATAGTGAGACCCTGTCTCAAAAAACAAACAAACAAACAAACCAAAAACAAGTGTAGTGGTGGGTGTGGTGGTGCATGCCTATGATCCCAGTACTTGGGTGCCTGAGGCAGGAGGATGGTCAGGAGTTCGGGGCCAGCCTAAGCTCCCCTACCCTATGCTGGGGTTCAGGTGTGCACCGCCTAGCTCTTTCTTTTTGGGACTGGGGATCGAACTCTGCTCCTTGTGCTTGCAAGGCAGGCAGTGGAACTGCTGAGCTAAATCCCCAGCCCTCTTTCTTTTTAACTGATACTAAGAATTGAACCTGGGGCCTTTGCACTGAGCTATGTCCCCAGCCCTTCATTTTTATTTTGTATTTCAAGACAGGCTCTCACTATGTCACCTAATTGCCCAGATTGGTCTCAACTTGTGATTCTCCTGCCTCAGCCTCCCAGAATGCTGAGATTACAGGTGTGCACCCCCATCCCCACTTGGAGAGGAACTGTTGCAGCCCAATTTCTGCAGTGAGGAAACCAAAGGTCTCACGAGTCCGAAGTCAGAGCGGGCTGCAAACCCTGGAGAGGGGAGTCCTAGGGGACACTCGGCAATGGCCAGCGGACACACACTGTGGACTGCAAGAGGAGGGCACTGTGTGCTGCAGGGTGAAGATTCCGGCGGTGCCAGATCCTCAGCAGGAAGCCGCTCCACGCTGCCCATGCAGACTGGCTATCTGTCCATCTGTCCATCCTGCTCCAAACTCGGTCAGGCCAAAGCCACCCAGGGCTCACCGGGGATGGGAAGACCACAGACACACCCAACACAGGACGCACCCCGGACAGCTGGCCCCATGCTCCATGCTCGGCCTCTGCTCCTATGCACAGGCTCCTGGACTCGCACATCTGAGACAGAAGGGCAGGGATTCTAGGGACATGAAAAGCGATCAGCGGCAGTGCTGTCATCCTGCTAAGGAGAGAAGGGGTAGGAAAATGACACAAAGCAAGAAGGAAGCCAAGCCTGTCATCCCAGCCCCTCTGGAGGCTGAGGCAGGGAGATTGCAAGTTCAAGGACAGCCTGGACGACGTGGTGAGACCCTGCCTCAAATAATAAGGGCTGGGAATGGAGCTCCATAGTAGATCAACCTGGGTTCAATCCCCAGGACCAAAAATGAAAAGGCCAGAAGGGCCACGTGGCTTAGTGCCAACAGATCCCAAAGGTGCCCAGCAGCAGCATGGAAAGACTCAGACTGAGTTCACGGCACAAATATTGAATCAACAGGAAAAGAAAGATTCCTCCCTCTTTCTTCTCAGTACGGAGTCTTGAACCCAAGACCTTCATTCTGATCTACCACCTGAGCCCCTTTTTTATTTTTTATTTTGAGACAGGGTCTCCCTAAGTCATTACACTGCCCAGGGTGGGCTTGAATTTGTGATCCTCCTGCTTCAGCCTCCCAGAGTGCCGGGATGACAGGTGTGCACCACTAGGCCCAGCTAGAAATGATTTTGTAAAATTCCTAACGCATGCCTGTCATCCCGGCACTCTGGGAGGCTGAGGCAGGTGAATCACTGTGGGTTTGAAGCCAGCCTGACCTGTGTAGGGAAAAAAATAAAATAAATAAATAAATCTATTTTTTTCTCAAAAACAATATAAGTAAATAAATAAGAGTCCTTTGTGCCTGACGTAAGTGAAGACAGCTGAGATTCTTCCACTGAAGCCCTCAAGGTACGAGGAATCAAATGGCTCGATGCACTTGAATTTCTGATACATAGCCCTCAGTGGCTGTCCCCTCGG